TTGAATAAATTCTTATTTAAAAAAATAACTAGTCTCTGAAACGACGTATATCGAGAGCTCTGAGAGAGAACTTGTGCTGAATTCCTCTGACAGACGAGTCAGCGCTGTCACTTAAGTTGCTGGTCACAGCTTGAGGTTTACCCCTAAAGGTTGCCTTAACTACAGTCTTGTGGAGGGACTGTGACGTGACTGCTCAGCTTGAAAAGCCCCAAAGCTATTGCATTTGGTTATAAAGGATCAGATGCAGCTATGGTCATTTTTCGTTTATTACTACGAGTTGAATATGAGTAGATTTGATATATTTATGAGATTTGCTAACCCTATTCCGTCCATGATGATAAAGGGACTTGTAGTTGTAATGAGTAAAACTTACGTTTCTATTGAATCTCGCATAGCCTTACTTCGTAAAAGGCATTTTCATCAAGACTGGACGGCAGTTTCTATCTCGCCTAGGCTTTATCAGCACCCCCAGCGGGACTCGAACCGTGGAAACGTAGCGTATAACTGAAGTAATGAAGAGTGTTAAATTATGGGAAGAAGTCCTTGGGTTGTCGTCCTTCCACTTCGTTCAGTCCGCGTTAAGGTTTTGTCCATCCAACCGCGATAGGCATCACCGGACAAAGAAATCTCACTATACAGAATAGTCTAGCAATATGCTAAACTTAGAGAAAAACTAAATTATAAGGACTTGTTTCTTAAATTAGCATATTGTTGCGCTATTTAGTAAAGTATAATTTCTCGATCTGGTGGGACAGACGGAAGCTTAGCACACGCCTGATTAGGTTTATGATTTTTTTCGTCTGCATTTCCGTGTGATGGTAGAAAGAGTGAACTAAGGTGTCTAATATGTATGCAGCGCTTGGGGGATAAACCGGAGAGTTTTCTTGACTCGTTAGCTTAAATCTGGTTGCAAGAATGATGCCAAGCTCTGATGACGTCCACTATACGACGGAGGAAAGCTCAGCACATTCTCGTCGGAATCGAAAGGGACAGCGTCAAGAGGAATGCTGCAATAAAGCCAAATGAAAACTGGCCAAGAGGAATCAACCATCGTCTTTTGGCGAGATCCACTCGAGTCTCTGCCCCACACACTTTGGCCAAACAACATGCCAAAATAAGAGAAAAGGTAACTTTTACTGTCTGGGCCTTTCGTCCAGGTAATCGTTGCCCTAGCATGCAAGGTACAGTGTTTCGCTCTGACGATGCCTCTGTCACGGTGGGACAAGACGGTGAGGTGAGAATTTATTTGCCCAGTCCAACAGTCTTCACATCTTCGGTTTCATCTGAAGCCAATTCACGAACTGCTTGTGACAAATGTTTCCTTCAAAATGCAGAATCCAGTCACACCAACTCACTGAGAAATTCTGTGAAAGCCAGCTTCTATTCATAAACGATATCTTTTTCACAAAACCACTTTCCATCGTATGTACGCATCAGAGGATTTTTTTAACTCCTTTAGCCACAGCCCGTTTTAATTGGCCTCTTTTATGCTGATTTTCACTTTGTAGCTACAAAGGGTAACTGGGTTTTGGGTAGACTTTAATTTCATATGCAAGTACATGATGAAAAGACTCAAAGAACAATCTCACCAGAAGACGATGGCTGATTGGTGTTGCACTGAAGCCGTCGTCCGCGAGACATCCTCCCTCGTTTCTGGCGCAAACTGGCTGAGCATTCGTCGTCCATCACCGGAAGCACATCATCAGAGCTGAAACTCATTCATGCCAAAGTCTCGTGTTAGCGTGAGGTCCAGAGGACTGCTCGGCTCCATTTAACCTCTTGTATAAACGCCTGACTCAGACGTACTTGTACGAAGATGCGTACGTGCGTGTGAGTGTGTGTTCGTTCATGCGTGTGTGGGTGCGGTGAGATGGATTCGTTATCCGAGGGCAAAGAAGGAAGTACGAGGTCGGTGCGGAAAACACAGCCAGACCGGAAGCATGAGGTCGCCTAATTCGGCTCCGTCCAGCTCAGTCCGGCTCAGTCTGGCTCAGCCCGTGCGGATCGATGTTGTGCGGCGTTTGAAAAGGAGGACGTGATCGATCCGCCTTTTGCCTCTTATACAAACGCCTGACTCAAATATACTTGCACGAAGAGGCGTACGTCCCTGTTGGTGCATTTGTGTGTGTGTGTGCGCGCGCGTGTGTAGGTGCGGTGAGATGGACTCGTCATCTAATGTTAGGCCGCGAAGGCGTGGCAGGACCTGACGCATGAACTCGTCCGAACTCGGCTCGGCCCGGCCCGGGCGGGCCGATGTTGGGCAGCGTTTAAAGAAGAGTGCGCGATCGATCCGCGTAGAGTCGACTTCACACGCCGCCCGCCTCGGCCCGACTCGGCACGATGCAGTGGCGCGACGTGTCGAACGAGCCGCCGATCTAAGACCGGCGCATCCAGAACGCCTCACGCCGCGGCCGACTCGCCCATCCGCCGCGGCCGCCGACGAGGCCGCCCAGCCGCGGCGCCGATGGCAGGCCCGGCCGGCGGCTGAGGTGAAAAGGCGCCAACGAACCGTCGGCCAACCCGTCGCTTTCGGCTGCGCTTACGTGGCCCGCGACTCGGCAATCTGGCGCGGCCGCAGCCAACCGCAGCGCCGGAGGCCCGACAACGTCACATCTCGCCGTCGCGTCGTTCGGACGTTGACTCCCATTCTGGCGGCAACGGAGACGGCGACAGCGACAGCGACGGCGACGGCGACGGCGACTGTGACCGCGACGGACAGGTCGAATTCGGCGTCTCCAACGCGCCGCCAACCGCATCAGGACGCTTTTCACTCGTTCGCCTACCGGCAGCTGCTGAACAACCAGCGCC